ATTGTCCAGCCCTAATTCAAATTGATAGCAATTAAGTGCACTAAGAACCAGAGTGGGATGTTCCATTACCATGAAACTTATTTACATTGAGTTATAAACATTCTTTTTAGTGCTGTCAAAATTAGCGCAAAGGCATACGATCAATTGTTTCAGATTAACGGCATTAAAAATATTTAGGGTAGAGTGGGGGGAAACAAAAGTAAAAATGTGTTCAGAAAAGTTATTGTAGTTTTAGTGACAATGACATAAATTATAAACCAAGTATAAAAAATGTCCAGAGTTTTCATGTTATTAGATTTTTAACAAAATTTTAATTCAAAAAATATAATCAATAATTATGAATTACAAAATTATAATAGCCTATTTGAAAAATCAGACTATGTTTGAGAAAAAAATTACGTCATTCTGAAAATATATTTTTCTTAAATAACACATACTCCCTATCTACAGGCCCTACTGTTCTCATATCATATATACAAAAACTTTAAAACACTTTTTTTCTTACTGCTGAAAATTAGATAATTTACTGTGAAATTCGTTTTCTCTCAGGTACATCACTAGTGTAAGCTTCATAGTGAATATTTCTACATCACTATTGTCAATGTAGTCCACAGTTACAATAAAAATGTATCTTGACTTTATCTTGTGGTTATTTTGGGGGGAAGAAGTCTAGATATTTATACTGTTGATATTGCTATATTAACTATAGGCTGTTATATGTACACTGGAAAAAAGCTTTCATGGGCAGCCTAAAATATCATGCACTTTCACAACAAAATAAACTTTTTTTTCCTTTATTGAATAATAATAAAAAAAAAAACTCTTTGATCTCTTTCTCTGTATCATTGTTTCTACACTGGTGATTTTTTCAACTAACTTATTTATACCAAACAAGGCCATAATCATATCTAGAACATTAGGGGGACTATTGTTTTGAGGAAAATATTAAGACCAGACCACTATATATGAATTACATGAATCACGTAAATGACAGCCCAACTTTCAATGACAGCCCAACGGCGGAATTTGACAAAAGAAAAAAAAAGGCGAATACTTCATAATACAGTCGAGCTGGCTGTTGCTATAGTAAGTAATTCTTACATTCAACATTAACAGCAAGTCAAAAGGGGTAAGCTTTCAACTGAACTGTATAGCCTACATGCATTTTAGACGCTTATATTATGCTCGTGTATGGGATTACATCTCCGCCGCAATTCTGCGCGCGAAAGATCATATTTTGAGCGTGCAAATGTGCGTTTTGCACGCACGTGAACTGAGTTTTGTGGAGAAAATGTTTGTCTCGCAAAGAAGAAAGTATTTCGAGTGCACGAAAATCAATTTTGCATTTAAAATAAGTTTTTGGATGTGTGCAGACCTCTTTTACTCGTGCAAGTTTCACTAGCTTGCTCACCTGATGCCAGCCCTCAGTGCTCTCTACAATGCCAACAGCTCGCGTGCTCAACACAACCCTTTAATCATTTATAATTGATATATAATTATTCATGAAGGCTGGAATTGAAAAATCTTATATTCAGGTGTGCATAATTATTAAGCAGATTTCCTTTTACAGATAAAATGAGCTATAATATAATATAAAATGAGATAAAATTGATGGTCGGTCAAAAACATGTGGAGAAGAAAAGATGCATGTTAACTGCAAAAGAATTTGGAATTAAGGTGAAGAGATTTACCTACAACTCTCTTTGCAGAACACCCAATCCCTGTCCCCTGCATCTCCCTCCTGCATAATCTGTTTTTCTTTTTCTCCTTGTAGCTGGAAATCAGCTCACAGACAATTTGCGGGCTATATATATTTTTTAATAATTCCAGTCTTGCTCGAGAACTCCGGTCTGACGCACGGGGGTTCTCGCGTTATTTCCTTATCACTTCTCGCGTGTGTTTTGTTGTGAAACGTAGTG